CTTTACTCTGAAAATTAAACATAGCAACCGGTTTCTTCATTCAAAAAATTAAAAAAAATGACTGTCAAACTTTGCATCAGACAAATACACTGTGGAGGGTGTTAAACTGCATGAGTTTCACTGAGAAATTTGTCCTTTAACAAGATCAGTTATTTCAGTCATAGAAACGTACTACTGATAGTAAAGAGCAATAAAAATGATGACGTGATGGAAGAAAGACACGGGTGGTGGAAGAATGCATTACTACCACAGCTGCTATTTCTTCAGGTGCTAAAAAATGCCAATGAATGACCTAATCAAAAATAAAAATTATTTTAAATTAAGAAAGAATTAAATCATCATTTAAATATCAGCTTCATTGCATGTGGAAATTTTAACTTTTGACTCAATCTTGCTGTGGAAAACAAGGATTTAATGTTTTATACTAATGACCAAACTTCTGTGAAGTTCAAACACTGTAATTTTACCTTTTTTCTTTTCTCTTGCTGACTGGGAATTAGGCTATTTAAAATCAACATGGTACAAAAAGTAAGAGTACTGAATTAAAGACAGAATGCAGAGAAGAGAAGCAAAACTAGGAAACATCTACATGCAGTTTTGGACAAATTAGGACCTACTGAGGCCTGAATTCTACCCATTCTACCAAATTCTACAGTTCTATCAAAAAGCTTTCAAGCTTCTTGTCCTCACCTTGGAATCACTAAAATCAGCACTACCTGCACTGCAAACAGTGAAACATGGAGTCTTTCCAGAAGAGTTTCCAGTTTCCCAGTTCTTTTTGATGCAGGCCTAGGTAAAATTTTTTTGGTTCATTTTATGGGTTGTGGGGCTTATGCTTTGCCTTTTTTTCCACCATTGCCCAAAATCACTTCCATAACAGCACATGGGGACCTGAATTACTAGAGCAAATTAAAGGCACTGAAATATATTTCTGAATTTTGGCACTTCACACATTATACCATTAAGCTGTTATTAACTTTTCATTTAAATTGAGCACTTGAGAGGTGGAAGGCTGAGGAAGAAAGAAAACAAAATAGTTCCACCCAAGGTGCAGTAGTACTTGTTGAGAAATACTGTACCTATAGGTAGCAAGTACTTTTTTTGCACAAATACATTATAGAAACTTAAGTGAGGATTTATTAACCTACATTAAATAACTATGCATTAAATTTATTTTAGGTTGCATAAATAAGTACACCAAAACCTGAATCACACTGTCAGTTCTGCAGTGCAAGGTTGTGCATTAAATATGTTTTAAAGAGTTCACTAAGAGCATCAGCTTTTGTTCATATTCACTCTTCAGCATCATAAAACTATAGCTTTAGAGCATTATAAAAATCAAATACTGAGATGCCAAAAGTCAAATTAACATCATTGTAGTATCTTCTGATAGCAAGTGACCTTCTACCATTTAAAGACTACTGCAGTAGAATGGTTTGGGTTGGAAGGGACCTTAAAGATCTCCTTATCTCCTGCCATGAGCAGAGGGACCTTTTGCTAGACCAGGTTGCTCAAAGCCTCATCTAACCTGGTCTTGATCTCAAAGTTGCAATATAAAAATCCTGTTGCCTCTGGTAACATCAGTGTTTCAGAAGTTACAATAACATTGCTAGCTTGTCAGATTTGAGTAATAGAAAAAATCCCCAGGCACTCTGGTAGGTAAGGAGACACAGTCCTACAAAAGCACAATAATTAGAATTTTAAAAGGCGTGACAACTTGGCTAAAGCTGCAATTTCGTGGTACTCCTGGTGAATTATATACAACTGCTGTGCCCCTCAATCTCCCTATTTTTTCCCCTGTGGACTGCTGCAGACAGACAGGCAGAGGGGTACGCACAACACTGTGGAGCCGTCGTTCCCATTGCTCTTTTGACAGGTTCCTCAGAATGCAGCAGCTTCACAAAAACAGGGGGGTGGGGGGGAAAGAAAAGCTGCAGAACACAAACAGAGCTAGTCTATCTGCAAAATTCTAGTTAAAATGCAGTAAAAATAAGGTAAAATTTAAGTGTTTGTATATGTGATCCTATGAAAAGTGGCTTCTCAGCGTTGCTTGGACTCTTACTTCAGAATAGGTCAAAAGAAGAAATTGCAGTCCAGTGTTCCTAGTCTAAAACTGGTCTTAGACTGCATCAGAATGTTCAAAGTTATCTCCCATTGTCTGTAGAAATCATATTTTTGTTTTGAACTTTAACAGCACCTACCTCTAAGTATTTCTAAGTGTTCCTTAGCATTAACACAAGAAAGACAATGAATATAAAACTACTGTTTTATTTTTTTTTAGTTTGAAAGGAAAGCTTTCTATAGCCTCTCAAGTTTCTAAATTCAAATGTGCAACTTATACTCAATTTTGTTACACTGACTTGGTTTTTAAACAAAGATCAGAAATCCTTCCACAAACCTAACTGCAACGTTTAAAAAAAAACTTACTACTATTTCTCTACATCCACACCTTCTGTACTACGACAGGTCCAGAGGAGTGAAACCTGAAATGCATTTTGCAGTAAAATGGGCAAGACCTACTTCTTTTAAATGTTTTACCAGCTTTCTGGTGGGTTATTTCCATCAGAAAAGGAGGCAGCAAGGAACTGGAAGAAGGCACATTCTGAAGTACAGTAGTTTCCATAGCAAACCCTAATCACAAATTTAACACGGTTCAGAGCAACTCAACATGCCATGCATGAGGCTCCTTTAATACCACAAAACCAGGACTGGCCAAAAAATATGACAGGACACATGAAGTAAACCACTGTTTTTGAGGATTACAGCAGAGTAGCTACAGGGATGTTTGAAAACAATTCACGCACTCCAAGGAAGAAACACATTCTAATCTACCTCTAAAACAATGTATACAAACATTACAGATATATTAGAAGGCTTTGAAATCAAGGCTACAACATGTGCCAGAGTGCCCTTCTCCCTTAAATATGACTGGCACATTTAGCTTTGCACTTATCCTGAAGAATATGTTACAAAGGAAATGACTTTCCAGTTTCATACATCCCTCCCTCATTTTAGAGATGCATACAAATTGCCATACATGATGGACTCTTAAATTTTCTCCTAGAAAACGTGAAGGAGGGAGGGACAGAGTCTTTCAGGCCATCCCTTACACTATACTGAAGCATGCAATGCAATTATTAATTTATATTAATAACAGAATCGAAGTACAAACTAAGAAAAATACAAATCTGATTCTTAGAATGTTACACTTGCAATTTTTTCTGATAGTCACGTAGCTAGAATGTGCATTCAGATGTAGGCAAATAACAGCATCCACAAATACAATGATCTTTTTAAAACTTTTTTTTTTAACTCTTCTTAACTCCAAAAAATGTCTCACCTGACATATACTCAGAAGAATGTTGTATTAAGCTATTAAGGTTCCTACAAGTAAAAATCACACTGATTTTTAAGGTAAGCTTTACCTATCTGTACTTCAGCCTTAACCAAAACCAGTTATTTTCTATGGACAGAACTTGGGGTATTTTCTTGAATTTCTCTCTCACCACTCTGACTCCATCTGCCAGAACAATATGCTTCTTACGCCTACTCTTCAAGACGGCTCTATTTGTGCTCCACAAATATGAAGTCACATATAAAAGAAGACAAGAAATTCTGCATAACATCATTTAAGAGAAGCAGATCAACGATTTATAAATACTGTTTTCAGCTTTTCTGTCATAAATGCGTCATAGCAGGCCCCTGCTTGCCACTTGGAAAACCATTAGTGTTTTGTTTTTTTTCCTGTGGAATGTGCATTACAACAGAAGGTTTTCAGCAGCCAGATCAGATATTTCATTAACAGTTGCATTTTGACAGATTTGTTTTCTACCACCACTAGTGCATTGCTCAACAAATGACAAAAATTAGTCCTGTAGTACATATAAACTGATCTCCTTGAAATGGTTGGTTGATCCAGATCCTATTTTACTCAGCTTTTCCATCAGGAGTTTAATTTTGCTATACAAAGGGAAATATGATTTAAGTCATTCAGTCTGAAAACTTGTTTTAGAGAAGAGACAGGAACTGGCAGTTAGAAATAAGAGAAGAAAAATAAGGCTGAGGAATGGACAAAAACCACCAAAGCCCAACAAACCAAAAAAAGAGAGACCTGACAGATCTAGCGAGCTGAGTGTCCCATGAAAGAACGAAAAGTGTCTCCTTACAGAAAGGCTGCTGAGCCTACTTCCCAAGCAATTTTTGAAGCAATTAGGGTTGGACATGAAACAAACGTTTAGGCTTGTTTGTACAGCTGGTTTCATGGAAATCTCCCAGTGTTAGCAATAAACACTTTTTACAACTACATAGTGTTTACACACAAATACAGACATGGACCCAAAAAAGCAACTTTTCAAATGTAAGGTGACTGTCATATCTTCAACAACAGTTATCACAGGGAACTTTTTTGAAGGCATACCAGGCAGGTATATGCCCAGGAGTCATTGAAAGCACACAAAGAGAAGGATGTCTACATATAAATAAATGTTAAATCCCCATTTTAAGTACTGTTGTAGACAGGACAGAGAGTTGTTGCTAATGACTAAATGGGAATTAAACTGTCAATTTTTAACAAACAGAACTAGCAAAAATCATTTGAGTCACCTAAAAAGCTGTGCTTGCTAGTTTCTGTATCTGACATTACAAAACACAGAATTTACAATTTTTAAGAAACCTAACCATGGTCATGCCAGTGAGCAGGAATAACAATACCTGTCAATATCTTCTATCTTCTGCATATTGAACAGCAATGATGGCACTATCTTGTCCATGTGCTGAGGTTCCCATATGGTTGCTCGAAGCTCATCATTAACTGTTTTCCGAACCACTCCCTGAATGCCCCTGATTCCAGCAATGCGGATCCTATGGGAGAAAAGAAGGAATTACTAAAAAGGACAAACATAGCACTGTTTATTTATAAGGCAGTAAAATTATGTGGTGTGGAATTCCATTAGGTTCTCAAAAGCAGTAATTTGGCTAATTTATTAAATTTGCCCATATTGCCTTTAAATACCTTTATAGCTCATAAGGAAGCTGAAAAAACTGAACAGAAGATGATCTGTAAAAGGTAATGCTGACACTGTTCAATGAATGCTCAAACTGTGTTTGCCACCTCCAGAAGAAAGTCACATGGGTAAAAACTTACCAACTCTACACAGTTTACTACCCATCAGTTGGAACTGTGCAGAATCTCAGCCTATTCCAGTGCTGAAAAAATACTGTGAAGTTATAGCAAAGCTGAAGCAGTAGACATCAGAGCCATCTGATCATGTCCTTAAAATCTGTAATTAAGGCTGTGGATTATTCATAACAAATCTTTAAGATTTGTGCAAGATCCACAATATGGAAAGCAAAGACAAGTTCTATCAACTTAAGCCAGCACAGAAGGAACCATCACTTTTACTGTAAAACCATTTGAACCCAATTAACTAAGAACTGATCAACAACAACAACAATAAAGCAATAAAAAGGAAAGATTATTGTAAATTCTAAAAGACTAAGTCTAGCTGTAAGCTATTTTGTTTTGTTGAACACAGTTTATGGGACAATCCGTATAAAGAAGTGAATGGTAAAATACTTTAAGTGATAATAGGAAATTAGTCATTATAATAATTGGTAGGAATAGAATTTTACTTACTGAAAGCAAGTAGAAGGAAGGGTGATACAGTGATCAAGTGAAACAGGGGCTTCAGTAAAATTTAAATTTATTTCTACTGAAATCCATTCCTCCATTTTTAAATTCTAATTTTAGTATCAACAAGACATAACGAGCCTTTGTTCAGTCAAATCTGCTGCATTGAAACACTTGCTAAACTGCAGAGCTAACCAAACTCTATAATTAATATTTTTTATTTAGATTTCCATTTTAAAATACTTAAATCTGTAGCCCTCTGTTTTTCAGCTATTTCTGAACAAAGCCATGGGCATTCAATATGGATCCAATAACATTGTGGAGCTTCCAAGACAAGTTTAATACATGCAAAAACAGGGAAGAAGAGGGATGCACAAAGAGCCAGAGAAGCACCTGCTATCCAGAATTCCATCACTGACACTTTTTAATTATTAGTTCCTAATCAAGTTTTGCTGATACAGTGACCTTAGACACATTCAATACTAGCACTAACCTCACCTGCAGAAAGGGAAACAACACCAGGCCAGATTCAGTTTCAGACTCAGAAGCCTACATTACCTGACTAGGTTTTTAGATGATGTTCAAGCCTCCTCTCAAACCAGACAGTTCAGTGGAAGTACAAGCTATGGCAGGTGCACGGGGACTCCAGATGTCTCCTGTAGGATGAGCTGAATTACTCCCTAGCCCCCACCAGTGGTATCAACTACTTGTGATATCTGCCCTTGGAATTGTAGTCATAGCTCATCCATTTTGTTGAGCTAACTCAGTACCTCCAGGAAATCTGGTATGTGAGCTCCACGGATGACTCCTGTTTATAAAGATCTCTTTCAAAAGAGATACATTTAAACTGTCTAGGCTGATATGGGAAAAGTCACATTGCTATACATTTTGTTAACCTGAGAAAAAAGGTGATTCACACAGTGGAAAAAAGCCACTTTTGTGTATTGGAGTGCCACTAGCACTAATTTAATGGCCTTACTGTTGTTCAGGGGGTTGAAAAATAGAGGCTAAAGTACTTAGGAAAGTTCAGCATCAAGTTTCACCTCTAAAGAGGGCTCAGATAGGTATTAAACCAGATACTGCATTTAAAACAAGGTCATGTACAGTCTTACATGACCAGGACAAAATTCTTCCCTGTCTTAGAGTACATTTCAGAGGCAGAGATAATGGTGCAGGTTGACAATTTGAAGAGCAAAACATTAGCACAGTTCTCTTACTCCTGCAGCAATCAAAGCTTTGAGATATTTTACTTTGGGGTATCCTTATGAGTGGCAGATCATACCTGACAGATCAGTCAGGGGTGTACTAGTCTCTCAATTCACTCCATGTTCTATTTCATTACTAACCTTACTTCTCATTTGCAAGGGGCAATGAAGGTGACAGCAGTAGTTAAAGTCCTGAGCTGAGGTTCCTGCCCTAACCTCTTATGAAATGTCTTATGGTAAACAGTTTAAAATTTCTGGTTTAGTTTCAATAAGACTAAAAAAGCAGAACCTCAAAATATTTATGATAAAATTTATGCATACTCTTTGCAATAGCTTCAGGTAAATACCCTGCACCTGACAGAAACCCAAGCTATGAGGGAGCTGCACTATACACTGGCTCCCTAGTGACACTTGCTTCAGAAGTTTCCAACCCCTTTGCCCTTTGGTCCCCAAGTATATTCAGTCCTTCCCCAAACACTTAATGGGGTCATCCTTTAAAAGCATCCACTGGAATAATCTCCCTAAATGGAAGGGAGGTAGGGGCACTGGAAAAGTACAGGAGAACCAGGCAGATTTTGATCCTAACCCTCTCAGAGAAAGTTTACAAGGAAACCCTAGCCACAGCAACAGGACAACAAATGAGATGGCAGCAAATTACAAAAAATAAGGAGGAATAAACCAGAAGACTAAAGAGGAATGAAATTTTAGTATTGTTTTTGTTTTTTCCTAAGCTATATATGCAGTATTCATACATTTAAAAAAAAAAAAAAAAAGCAGTTCACAGATTTTTGAAACTGCAAGACTTTAAAGAAAAGTCTTTACTTATTGCAGCTGACAGAACAGTACACCCAAAGGGCTGAATAAATGTTCAGCTCATGGATTTTTCCAAGCTGGCTACACATTTGAATGCATGAAAATAGAAAAGATGAGTACAACAAGGATGCAAATAACATAGCCTGAAAAGCCTTAAGTTTTCTGAAATGCTCATGAGTTAAACATTGATGAGCAATTTGTACCAAGAATACATCACTAGGGGGAGCTGAAGTAAAAAAATTGTGGTGCTTATATAACGTAAAAATTGGGAATGCTAATTCCTGAAGGCATTTCAGTTTCACACACAGTATCACACTGCAGACATCTAAGAAAGTTTAATTTTAATGAGCAGTTCTCAAATAGCGGACTCAAAATATGCTTTTGCTGTTCATCTATGTAGCCCCATTAATTTCTCAAATGAGTTAATGCAACTCACACACATTTGGAGGAACAAGTAGTGCCTTTCGGCAGACAATCCATGCAATCTGGCAGGCACTGTTCAGGTAAAATTCCAATTAAGTATTCTAGGTGCTGTAGCCACCTAAGATTTACAATATTCAGTGCTATTTAAAAAGTCAGACTATTCCTCTAAACAGCACAATAAAAGCTGTATTATGGTCTCTCTTAATGTGTTCAGGCAGCTTTCTGTAACGTGCTGAGAACGACACTTACTCAGTTTGTATTTCTGGATCGTGGTCACAGGAATGGCACATGGCACTGAACCGAGACACGAAGAAGTCATAGCGCCTGTGATAGGAAGGGGTGTCTTCCTCAATGTTGGCAAATTTGACAAACTGGAAAATGAAATACGTTAAAAAAGCTTTTGACACTTATTTCCCCAAAGAGAATAATGAATACTAAGCTTCATTTAAAAAGTAGCATAAAACACTGGATTAGGAAGCAACTGAGATTTGACAATACTTAAATATTTAACTTCAGAAAAGAAAAGGCTAAATTTAAATTTTCTTTTTTAATCTTTCTATTAGAACTTCATTTAGATCATTATGAAAGGGTGCAACTGCGTAAAATACAAGATACTATACAGTATGGAAACATTTAACACTTGAATACTGACCATCATCAATTCATAGAATTGTTTAGGTTGGAAAAGATCTTTAATATCATTAAGTCCAGCCATTAACCTAACACTGTGAAGTCCACCATTAAGCTATGTCCCTAAGTACCACATCTACAAGTCTTTCAAACACATCCAGGGATGGTGACTCAACCACTTCTCCAGGCAGCCTCTCCCAAAGCTTAATAATCTTTTCAGTGAAGAAATTTCTCACAATATCCAACCTAAACCTCTCCTGGTGCAAACTGAGGCACATCTTGCTACAGCCTCCTTAAAGGTAGTTGTCCAAGCACTCAAATAGTACACTGTCACTGTCACATCAACTAGCAACATTCTGAAATATCAAAATTCAAGGGAAATAATCTTGGAGGCATCCTGTCAGTTCTGTCTATCTTTACAAGACGGAAAATGAAGGAGTCACAGAATTACAACCCCGTCAACTTTAATTCCATTCACAGAAAGACACCCTGAAAAAAAAAAATCCAATCTGCAAAGATGTACAAAATAACAAAGGGGTAAATAACAGTCAACATGGATTTGTCAAGAACAAATCATATCAACCCAGCCTAAACTATTCCTATGACAACAACATAGATTTTGTGAATCCAGATGAAGCAGCATCTGTCACAGCTTAACTTCAATGATGTTGTTGACAAAAAAAAATACAGAAAATTCTCAAAGGGAAGCAAAAAAAACACTGTAAAAAGAACACTCCTCATAAGACAGATGCAGAAGGGTTTGGAAGAATATAGAAACACTTGGAAAATCATCAAACTACAGTAATGTACTGGGTGAACCTCTGAAGTGGCCTGTCTGGAATACAGCTGTATTTGAGGTTCACTTGAGACTTGGATACTGGAGTGGGCTCATCAAACTCGTAAAGAACACTAAGCTGGCCAGAGCTGCAGGCACACTTCATGCCTGGTTCTTGACAAACTGGAAATAGGACCCAAAATATCAACGAAGTGATTTAGGAATGACAAACACAAAATACCACTTTAAAACAGCTGTACAAATACAATCCAGACATAGCTGAATGCAGAAAACCCCCTCAGTTTATAATAAACTGCACATTCAAGCAAACTTATGCTGTTATACTGGTGTGGAAAAGAAAACAATATCTTGTGATACATCTGTACTACCCGGGACACCTATGAAGACATTTTTGCCATCTAATTTGCACTAATAAACCCTTAGATGAAGTATTGCAGCCCCCTGAAGCATCACAGTTGAAAATGGTTAATTAACTCATACAGCCCTTCAACTATTCCAGGAAGAAACAAAGCTTTAGATAAACACCTGTTAAAAAAAGACTGAAAGGCATTAAATTATCTAGTCTAGAGCTGCAAAAAAGATATGTCTCACAATGTACAGAATACAGCCATAAAAAGAAAATAAGTGAATGGTTTTCTTTGTCAAATGGTAATAGAAAAAGCAATAATGGCCTTACACTGAAGCAATGGCTACCCAGGTTATACATTAAAAATCCTCTGCTTTCTAAAGGGAGCAAACTGCCTAGAGACATTTTGGATTCTTTATCACTGATGGTTTTTAAGAACAAACTATAGAGGGAAGAAAAAAGGGAAAGGAAAAGCTGAACATAGGCTGGTTCTGCCCTGAAGCAGAGAAATGTCCCATTAAGATTCTTCCACCTTTTCCCACCCCAGTTTCTTCTTACCAATTGCTAAGCACAGCATTTCTTGTATACTTACTGAAATGTAGAACCTGATTTTCTCAGCATGTTACCCACATATATCTAAATAAGCCCAAAGTACTATAGCAGAATCTAAAGCATACTGATTTGTGGAGGTTTTTAGGTGGCTTTCAAGCTTAGTCCTGCATTTCAGAAAAAAAATCCACCAATTTCTCTACTCGTTGTTTTAGTCTTTTTTTGATTTTACCTAGAACACATCTCTTACAAGTTCACCCCCTGGAAGCTACAGGCTCAGCAGAAAACAAGAAAAGTTGTAAAACTGTATTTTTAACTGTTACTGAAAATGGAGCAAAATTGTATAATACTAGCTCATTTTAGATGCCCTCCTGTACAGAATAACCTGTATAGTCTGGTGATAAACTGGTATACAGTTATAAACCAATTCTGTATCATCTACTGTCACAGTTTAAAAGACAGTCCACCACCAGCAACCATGTTTTTTTTTCAGTACAGTGGATTATTAAAATTGTAATTTCCTTCCCAACGGACCTTGGAAAATGTTTTCAATGTCTTCTGTCTCACTGGCTTCTTTCATTGAATTATTAATTATAAAACTTTCTGAAGTTTTTTTTAAAGACAGGAACCTAATTAGTCCTTACAATTTAATAAAAAGTTAAGTCCAGTGGTTAAAAAGAAAAAAAAACAACAATGCAATACAATCTTAGTATTTCCAGACATTGCAGGCATTCAAGTCTACAACTGATTCACCCACCAAACTTCCATAAAAGCATACAAAATAATTGAAGGAAAAAGTTTAAAAAATACAAAATACTATGGGATTGGCTCTGAGAATATTAATTCATTTATCATTTAATATTAGCATATTAATATTATCTAAAAATACAAAATCATGTGATTGACAGGATCTTAAAACGCAAAAACTTTATATAACTAACAACTCTTTCGAGGAAAGATTTATTGTACTGAGAAATTCTTTGTAAGAATAAATGACAAATTTAGGCCAAGGAAGTGTCAGGGACTCTCTCTGGCCGTGGACATTTCTCCTACATCACAATGTAGTTTTGTAGCAGTGAAGCAGGTACCCAGAAGTTATACCTCTCAAAATGGCATGCACTGTAAAATATCCAGAAAGGGCAATTTTTTTTTTTATTTCTTCGTGTATATAACAAAACAATTTCACTCACTGAACACAGAGCATTTCTGAAGCATACTCCAGGGTTAGCATTCAGATGACTGCACATTTAGGCCACAGGAAAGCTAACAGTGGTAACAGTCCTGAGCTGCACTGTCATTCAGCAAAGTATACAATTCCATTTCATTAAAGAAATTTTTCTCCTTTAGTAGTGGTGCACTTAAGCTGTTACTGCTGTTGAATAGAGAATAACTTACTCCTAAGCACCTAAGGTACTTTCAAGCATACTTCAGATATAAAAATTATTAAACGGACGACACTCTTATGAACATCCAAGCACTTGTCTGAGATACACTTAACAAAGCTTTCATAGATAAAAACATGTCATTGAGTCATAGTAAATGCTTGCAATCACCCACAGGTACTTCATGGAAGTTTTACCAGTACCAGCTTCTTCTCTATTTATACAATATAGAAGGTATTGTACAAAAGGAAGTTACACTGGTAATAAGTTACTTCCACTCATTTTGAAATCAATAAAATGTAAGCAGTATAAAACCACTTAAATGTATCACAAAATAAAGAAGGAACATATTATCTATGCAGAAGATGTTTGTTAAGGACTGAGTCAAGAAAGTTGGATCAATCACATTACCAGGGAGAGAGAGATTGTGTGAGTCCTGTAAATAAATCATGCAAGCTCTCAAACTAAATTCCCAAGCACATAATTTCTTATATATATTTATGCTGTCTTATCACTCTTACATAGCCAGGACAGCCAGAGAAAAAGAATACCTTTTAAAGAACCCTGCTTGCCTTTAAAGGTCAGGTTTCTGCAGCAGTTCAAGAACAGAAAATTAGCACGCATCATATTTAACTCTGAGTTAATTAGTTAAAATATCTCCTTGTAAAATAATGGAACATTATTTTTTGTTTCATATCTGAGCTCCTCAGTCTGCCTTCTGCAGCGTGCAACTTTCTCATGTTTCGGATGGGGGGTAGGAAGTCCTGGTACTAAGAGTTACTCTCTTTGATAGACAACACTACTGTATTTCATTACTAGGAAACTATCACATATGAGGACATGATATTCTAAAAACAAGACTCTTATACACAGTACAGTGTTAATGAGAAGAGTGTGAATGTGCATATGCACTTCAAACAAATGCAAAAAGGACCAACATCGAAGGCACCCTCACTTTAATTGCAGATGACAAGAAATTAAGCGGGAGTGTTATCTCTTTGAGGGTAGAAGGCTCTGCAGAGGGATCTGGACAGGCTGGAGCCATGGACTGAGGTCAGGTCTACGAGATTTAACAAGGCCAAGTGCTGGGTCCTGCACTTGGGTCACAACAACCCCAGGCAATGCTACAGGCTCAGGGAGGAGTGGCTGGAAAGCTGCCCAGCAGAACAGGACCTGAGGGTGTTGTTGGTGGACAGCCAACTGAACAT